CCCTTTGATTCAAAGGCCCCTTGATAGAAATAAAGAAACAGCCAGGCCTGAGTCTCTTTGATATTTGGGAAGGCAAGAGTTTATGAGGAGCCAGCTCCTAGACCTCTTTTAAGGTGAGGGGAATTCTGGCTGGAAAGAAGGAGGCATTTTCTGGGATGGTGCAGGGCAGGAAAGTCGTGGGCTTTCTGTGGGGCTGGAGAGTCCCAGTGCAAAAGTGCTTTGCTCCAGCAGTTTCTAGACCCAGTTTCTTTCTACCTCATCTCTCTGATACCTGCAAGGGTGATGTCTACTTACTGCTTTGATTGCTTCAGGAGCCTGAAGCAGAGGGTGTGTGTGTGTGTGTGTGTGTGTGTGTGTGTGTGTGTGTACATGACATCTCAGTATGTAGATCTGGCTATCCTGGAACTAAACTCACTATGTAGCCAAGGCTATGTGAACTTACAGAGATCTGAGATCTGCCTGCTTCTTCTTTCTGAGTGCTGAAATTAGCCTTTTGCATGAGGATTCACAGCAAAGTAAATCAAAGACTGAAAGATTTTGTCTTTTGGGTTTGGGGTTTTTGCACTGTCAACTGCTCATCCTGTAATGAGCAAGGTGAGAAGGTAGACTGACATCCTCAGGCTTCTGTATTCATCATGTTCCAAGCTGGGTGTGTCTTAGGAGGTACTGGTGCTGGTATGGAGGGAGATTAGGGGCTCTGGAGCCACAGTAGTCGCCACTGGACAGAGCATCACTTTTGATGTCTATTTCCTAACAGCTGAACGCATCAATCAAGGGACTTGAGGGGAAAAGCAAAAGCTCTGTCTAAAATGTAAGACTCTGTAGTGGATGCAATGGACTCTGCTAACTGTGTCTTCTTCCTCAAACACCTTGAAAGCAAGTTGTGCACCTGCTCAGTTCTTTCCAATGCACCGAGTGTTTTCACAATACTCTCTCGTTCATCCTCACATCAGCCCACACACATTCTTGCCATTTAGATTTCTTATGTACCCAAAGGAGTTTCACTGAAAAATTGGCCCCAAACTCCCCTTCTACTCACATAAAAAAAAAAAGCAACCTTCAAGCCTTTGACAATATCTTTAAGAAACTCCCAGGTTACTAGGGTGGGTAACAGGAACATGTTTATTCTGCCTGCCCTGCCCAACTGGACAGCTACCAAGAGCTCTGTCTTTGCTATTGGAACCAACATGTCTGTGTTCACCTTGCAGTTCAGCTGTTAAAACAAACAAGGCACAAAGGTCATGGCAAGTGTGATATTGTAGGGGACATGGGCTTTGGAACTAGTAAGCCCCAGTTACATTTTTGGCTTGGGCATTAGAAGGCCTTGTGGCTGTGGCCAGGGTACTTAATCCCTGGAGACTGGATTTCTTCATTCTCCCATCAAGTGTAGTCACAGAACCTGTGACTAAGGTGTTTGGGACATAAACATGAGAACACCTCCACAAATGTTGCTCCTTGCCTTTCCCAACTGTCCTTGAACAGGTCAAACATACTTGGTAAAGTCCCATATAGTTAGCCAAAATATAACCCTACGCACCAACTTCACCACCACTAGGCAACTTAAGTGCTACACTGCAAAACACAAGGAAATCTAATGTGGGACACATTGCTGGATGAATTTAGATGGAGACTTCTTAATTAGATGAATAGTTAGCTTTCTGCCTCCTATATAAACAGTTACAACTGAGATAGTTAATACTATAACATCGTAAGTTCAGCTGGGCATGATGGCTCACACCTGTAATTCCCAGCACTTGGGAGACTGAAGCAGGAGGATTGCTGTAAGTTCTAGGCCTCCCTGGGCTATAGTGTAATACCCTGTCTCACACAAAAAAGACTGCTTCCACACTGTATATATGACTACATATGCATTTCTTAAGTCCATTACCCTTATTTTTTTTTTTTAAAAAAGTGATTTTGGCAAAGGAGAAAAGGAACTATGAAACTGGACTTATGTGATATTGGAAAGAGAAATAATTCTATCTAGGTTTTTTTTTATTATTATTCTAGCTGAATTGCAATTCAACCCCTTTATCTCTCAGGACAAGGGGTGATGATGGAGACAGCACAGACAGCTCAGGCTGGTGCTTGTGGTAGGAGATAGATGCTCATTGAATGTTGCTCGATGACCTAAAGCAGCTTAGCAAGCCCAGGTCTCTGATCATTTTAACTCTGATGAGGGCTTCTTGGCAAACACGGTGCACACTGTGGCATGATCACGGAAAGAACATTGACCAGTGGTCCGAAAGTGCAGTTTCCATCTTCATCACTTAACAGCCTGGCGACCTTGGACATGCCATTTAATCTGTTAAGTGTCATCTCACCTGTAAAATGAGGAGCCTGGACTCGGCAACTTGGAAGGTTTCTTTCAGCTCTGAGGCTGGAGCTTGAAGCCATTTCATTTGCTGGTGTTTCTGCTTCTTCATTTATTCAAAGGCAGTGAGGGTAGAAACCTATGTCATATAGAGAAAGGAAGACACAGAGTATGCCTTGAAATCTCTGGTATCTTAAAAGTACTAGGAAATGCAGAGATGGGGACCAATGTAACAGAAACAATATAGCAGAAACCAGGTAAAAGAAACAATGTAACAGAAGGGAAGGAGTGAGCCTACACCCTGAACTTGAGTCCCAACTCAACCTTGTCTAGGTGTGCCAAGTTTCTTAATTTACTTCAGCCATGAGGGTAAACTGTTAAGCTGTGCCATTTCAATCGCATCACATTCTGTTGAAAGCCAACATCGTGACCATGCTTTGAAAAACACTGTAAGGAACTACATAAATGTAGCAGCATTGAGAACTGGCATAGATTTGGGAGTCACTATCCAAGGCTGATTGTCTGCTCCAATTTAGTAACAGGTGAAATTCAGCTAAAATGTTCATTCATACAGTTTCTCAAAGAGTAATTATCTAACATTTGTTCAGTGTCTTCCGATGTAGGGCATTTTTCACAAGGCCAAGTCACTACTGTAGAAGGAGACCTCATTTCACACCCTCTTCCCCAAAAGGGCTAGTTGACTTCCATTGTGTGTGGTGGTGCCAAGAGGGTTGACACAGCTTTCTAACTTTTGATAGCTCCACTAGGTAATAATCACAAATATGTCAAGTACGTCTGTGACACAGTGGTACTATAGCCTTTCATCCCAAGCCTTTAAGGGATTGCTATCCAGAGACACGGGTGGAGGCTTCCTTCTGTGAATCTCAGGGCCTGGTTCAGGGACCAGCCTCATAAAATTGCCAGAAAGTCTCAGCCTAGAATCTAGCTCTCCAAACATTGGCTCCCCAGGTGACATCATGTCACATGACAGCCAATGGCACTGAGATGTTTTCCACCCTATTAAAAGGTACAAGTGACCCCTCTTAATAAGGCACCCTGGACCATCTTCCATCAGCACCTATTCATAAAAGCTGGCCCTCCACCAGACCCCACCCCCAGGTCCTGAATAGTATGAACAGCTCTAGATTTATCTCGAGGAGTAGGGACAGCCCCCTGCATTTTTCTTGTTACAGTGCTTATGAAATACTGCTCCTTCAGAAAGTCCAGCTTTTACTCTGGTTGAATATGTGATTGGGGGAAAAAGTACTTACTGCAAAAATTGTTCTTACAGATTTATTTTATGTTTGGATTAATTCAAGGGAAGTGTAGATACTGAAAATTATGAGGTCCCTTTTCCCAACATCCTCATGGCCCTGCCACTAATACCCCCTCTCATGAATCTAGCAGTCTTTTACTAGGGAAGATCAGTGTAGTTCCACTTTTCTTTCACGGTTCAGACTTATTTCAACTCGCATTTAATTGTGCTTAGTTTTTGACCACAGCTCTCCCTTTCCCCAGCCCCTTTATGCGCATGGGTCAAGGTTATGAAGCTGTTTTACAGGAGTAATTGAAACAGAGGCCACAGAGGGGCAGCGCTGGGTACCGAGTCCTGTCTTCTTGGCTCTGGGGCCGCACAGCAGTTTAATCTCCAGGACAGACACTGGATCTGCAATTCCTGGGCAGTGTAGGACTCAAGTCTCCTGGAGATCTTTGTGTTTGCTGTCCGAACGGCCCTGGGAGCTAAGGCTAGTGGGGTGTGCTTGCAAGCTGCGCACTCTCACCCCCTACTCCCAACCCAAACGGTGTATGCGTGCGTGCACGATTGTGTGTGTGTGAGAGAGACTCCGTGTGACTGTGTGTGTGTGTGTGTGTGCGCGCGACTCTGTGTATGCGCGACTCTGTGTGCGCGCGCGAGTCTGTGTGTGTGTGCGCGCGCGCGCGTGTGTGTGTGTGTGTGTGTGTGTGTGTGTGTGTGTGTGCGCGCGCGACTCTGTGTGTGCGTGACTCTGTGTGTGCGTGCGAGTCTGTGTGTGTGTGCGCGCGCGTGTGTGTACACGAAAGCGCTCCCGCGCAGTGGAAAAACCCTAGTAAGACACCACATCCTTTCTCCCACAAACAGAACCCTCCAAGGACCCCAGGACTGAAGACTTTTCGAGGAGCCAACATGCAACCTTCTTTCCCATCTTTTTCTTTTCCCTGATCGCGCCCGGGGCGCTGCTATGATCCCCAAGAGAGGCCTAGTTTGCATGGATGACCAGTGAAGAGGGTCCTGAGATACGGGAGTCTCAGAGAAACGCGGCGTCAGGCGCTGGGGTGGAGGAATGACGCCCTCCCCAAGCGAGCTGACACGTCCCGAGTGGGCCCCAACGTCTTCCTCACGCCCACCCATCCCTGCAATGTTTAGAGTCCCGGGTGTGCGCGGGGAAGGGGCTGCGGACACTGCGGATCTGTGGACAGGAAGCCGCGTTGACATTGAACTCCAGCTCGGGAACGCGCGTGAGCCGTGGGGAGGGGGCCGGACTCGTAGCTGCTGCGAACCAGCTCAGGCGGGGTGCAGTGCCGGGCTGGTCCCCGCCGCCGCCTGCGGGAGCTGCGAGCGCTGAAGCCATTCATGATTTTGGTGACGTTATTCTAAGAGTGGGCGAGGGGAGGCGGAGCTGTTCTCGGACAAGCCCCGCCCCCGCTCCTATAAATGCGGCTTCCCGGGCTCTTTGTGGGACCCGGAGCTCAGTGGAGAGTAGGGAGCTTCGTCTGCACTGCCGACGCCGCTGGCAGCGGGGCTGTCTGGGGAAGTCGGACCCGCGATCGCCCTGTACCCGCTCTCGGTTTGCCCGCTGCTCTCTGCGCCCATCATCCTCATTCGGGACGCAGTGACCGTTTTGGGGTTTTTGTGTTTTTGTTTTTGTTTTTGTTTTTTTTAATCACAAGGGCGTGGGTCAGCCTCCCCTAGGACTTCATGTCTGTATATTTCCCCATTCACTGGTGAGTATACTGCGCCTGCGGTGGACGCCGGTTTAACTCCGGTGGTTGCGGGGCCCCGCAGCCTCCTAGTGCCGGCTCCGGGTGCGAGGCCAGAGAGTGGCACGGACACCCAGTGCTGGCTAACCCGCCGCCTCAGCCCCTGCAGGAGTCGACGTCAAGGTTGCAAAGCTGGGGGTTGGGGGAGGCGGTGCTGAGAGCATCCAGACAAAGGAAGTGAACTCGGAACCTTCACTTAAGTGGCGGCCAGAGGGTGTGGATATGGTGGCGATGGGTGGGGGAGAACCTGGGTCCCCGCCTGAAGCCCCCTAAGGAAACCCTGTCCGCAGAGGGTGGCAGGAGATGAGTCCTGCCTGGTGCAGGGGGCTCTGGCTCGCCCGGCCCCTCCCCTTTTCCTTTTTGTTTGCACGCAAGTCTCGACGTCGAAGACGGCTGCAGCCGGGTTGAGCTGATGCAGCCCCCAGGACGGGGGGGGGTTGAGGCTGGAAGAGGCCCTCCCCAAAAGCAAGCCACAAGCAGCAAGGTACACGCTGCACCTTCTCAATCCCTGCTCTCCGTGGCCCCTAAAATCCAACGCGCCTTTGTGGAGGGCCCGGGTTGGGGAGGAGGGGCTCCCCCAGTGCCAGATTGGAAGAAGTCGGTCACAGCTGGGTGGGGGGCTGCAGAGGTTTGCCTCCAGCCGGGGAGGGGGTGGTTGTGGGGGATCAGATCCCGGGAGGGACCTAGCTGCTGGGACGTGCGCGCCAGCTGCTTCTTCCTTCCTGCTGTGGGGTAGAGGAGGGGCGCTACAGGGAGATGAGCACCCGTGGTCCTGGAGCCCGCAGGTGCTGGCCTCAAAGAGCCGGTGCTAGGTCCAAGGCAAGCTCTGAGCCCAGGGAAAGTGGGCCCTAGTCACGGCGCTGTTCTGCTTAGCCCAGGAACTCTGAAAGTTCATGTTTCTCGTTTTAACTTTTTGGGCCCAGCCAACAGTTCCAAGAAAGAACAGAACGCCGCTAGAAACCTGGTCGCGGCCCTGTGGATACTCTCCTGATTCCCTTCTTTGGGGTTTGGAGGCATCATTTCCAGACCCGGGAGGAAACTGTGAAAGTCTAGCTTCTAAAGCTATACTTGCCCATGTCAGTCACCCTCTCTTAGTGTCTCCGCTTATCCCCGTCCCACCAGTTTGGTTTTGATTAGAGAGAGCACTGCGTTTCAAAAGAAAGTAAAATTCCCCTACAATTGGAGCTTGTGTACCCCCTCATGTTCAGACAAGTCAGGCATCTTATGGGTGAGGTTTTGAAGAGTGGTGGAGGTGTGCCCCCCACCCCCCCCCCCCCCCCCGCCGCTCAAAATTCAATAAGGTAGATAGATGTTCAGAGCCCTCAGGGATATTAGCCCCCAACTCACCCATTAAGGCTTACGATTATTTTGTTCTTTAGCACTTTCTACGATGTCTGCAACATTTTCCCCTCCAGACATTAACTATGAGCTATGCATTGTTAGCATGTTGGTAATAAACAGAGCTTCTGCAACTCAGAGAGGTTCTATGATCTGAAAAAGATCACACAGCTCTTAAGTGGTGAGGGCTCTCAGAACTGAATGCTTTTATTGCTAGGGCCAAATACCATTTCTACTCTATCTGGTACAAAAAAAAAAAAAAAAGATTCTTGTCTTCCTGTTTTCAGAAATGTAGTCTCTCTAAAGCTCTCTAAAGCCTGCCCCTGCCTTGCTTTTTCCCCCTTTTAAAACCACGTACACAGGCGTGATAATGAAAACACTGGGTGTTGTTGTGAGTACCTGGATTTGGTAGGTATGTATTTGGCACTATGCATACTGAACCCTGTGTGTGCCCATGGCCTGTGCAAGGATAATAGACTGTTTGTACTCTGCTTAGAGAGTACAAAGTACTTTCACATGTCAGCTATTGGTGGACCAACTTGGCCCCTCTGGAAATTTCCTTGCAATCAGAATAGGTGTATCCTTCAGGCTTTTAATCCAGGGGGATGTTTTTCATGCTGGGAGCTAGTAGCAGCAGCTGCTAGGGCTACAGAAGGGGGTAGGATGGCAGAAACTTGGGGAAAAGCTGTCCCCTTGGGGTGGGGCATTTTGCCTAAAGGGGCATCAGACAGAGACAGTGAAGAAGGCTCCATGATTAGACTTTGTCTCCCTGAGGAGGCTGGCCTGTTGTTGTTATGTAATTCTACTGTGCAGTTCCCATTGGAAATTCATGGGCAAGATTCCTTTCATTCTTAGTGGAAGAATGACGGGAGACCTAAGCTGTGTTAGTTTCATAGAAACACACACACTCAACTACCTATAGTGTGTGTGTGTGTGTGTGTGTGTGTGTGTGTGTGTGTGTGTGTGTACTCAATGTGTGTGGTTTCTAGTTTAATAGAAAATCCAAGATTGCTTTTGTGTAGGGTTTGGTGGTGGGGGAAGGAAAAGTTGTGGAGTGGGGACTTTGACTGTCTCTGGAGATGAGCAAGCCACAGAGCTGTGGGTTTGAAGGTTGCTTCCTCAGGTGAAATTGTTTTGCTGTGAGCTGTTTGAGCATCTCTCATCCTATCTTTAGCAGTCCCCTGATCTCAGGGCCACAAAGTTGCTAAGAGGAGAAATGTGCCATATGTTGACTTCTGGTCTGAATTTCTTTGCAGCACTGACTATCTGAGATCTGCTGAGATGACTGAGGTGATGATGAACACCCCATCCATGGAAGAGATTGGCCTCAGCCCCCGGAAGGATGGCCTTTCCTATCAGGTGTGTTCAAACTTTTTAGGGCCTTGTGCTTTTCTCTGGGAATGGAAGTAAGCATGGTTTGGGGAATGCCAATATCACCTGTAAGAGTTTGAGGATCCCAGTATCACCTGTAAGAGCCATGTCACCTTGAGAAAGTCCTTGACTGCCAGTGAGCCCCGGTTTTTCATTTGTAAAATGAGGCAGCAGTGGTCTGAATCCTGTAGGATTGTGATGAAGAGTGAACAGGATGAGAGGGTGGGTTTAAGGCATTTATATATAGTGCCTGGGACACCTAGGGTCAGTAGACAATCACTGACATCATTATCTAGCCATCCTGATTCTCCCAATAGCAGCAGAACTCTCTTCTCAGCCAGGCCTTATGCAGTAAAAATGCAGCTGATGGGGAAGAGTGGTCTGATAGGAGAATCGCCACCTGTGTTTTCAGAGTGATAGCTGACTGGCAGGTTCAATGTTCATGTTTAAACTACACAGAGCTGAAGAGGACACTTTCTTAGGGATGCTGATACCAGAGTGTAGTGTAGGGATCATCCTGTCTAGTGGAGATAAATACAAACCACAGCAAAAAGAGAGTGGGAGGCACCCTTTCTTGCTCTTTAAGTGTGGGGAAACCTCAACATCACAGGGAAAGTGGTGGATATCACCTCAACGAGCAACAGAGCATTTAGTTACCTCCTGGAGAGACAACTGATTTTGGATCACCTGAGAGTCCCTAAATTGCCAGTTTTGGAGGAGAGAAGTATCTGTAAAAGAATATTTTGAGACCCAGGTATTATGTACAGTGGCCAGCCTAGGCAAGAGCCTAAAGTACAAAACAATTTGTACACATTAGTTTGTCCATTTTCTGCTGTAGCTCCCAAAGGAACACCCACCCACCTTTTATACTGAGGCCCTAGCCCAGCTCTGTTTCGAGACTTGGATCTCTACTCCTGATGGTTTTGATTTTCTGATGTAATCATGTCTTCATACTGGGCTAGTTCTGCTTGAGTGTAGACTTACTCCAGCTGCTTATTCCTTAGAGCTGTTTCAGGAACATTTCTTTTGTAGAGAATGAAACAAATAGAAAAGCTGGGATGGGTGCCATGTGATGGGAGGAGAGTAATCAAAGAGAAGCCAAGATAAAAGCTAAGGCTGGGAACATGTCTTCAGATACCAGACATGCTTGAGAGGTTCAGGAGGCCCTTTGTTTTATGTCAACACACCAGAACTCACTTGTTGGCTGCAAATAAGAATCCCAGGGGGTGAGAAGCCTAAGGGAAAATGGTTTTTCTAGGCTGTTCTTTCTTTTCCTGGAGAGGGACTAAGGAAAGCAGTAGAGGGCTCCATGACCAGGTGGGAAGTATAGAAGTTCCCAGGCCCATCTGCCCGGTACTTTTGGATACCAGTTTCTAAGCCTATGAGTCAGACTAAATGTCTTGGTTACAGGTGAGAGCATATTTCAGTTCCAGGTTGTAGATTTCCACTGCAGAATCTTTCCATCCAGCTGCAATTGTCAATATGTGTGTGCGTGTGTGCATGTGCCTGTGCCTGTGCCTGTCTGTGCCTGT